ATTTTATTATTTAGAAAGGTATTACTGTACTTAACAACAAACATTATCTTATCTTTTTTTTCTAGCTGTCTAGAATGGTATCAAAACTGTATCAACATTGTTCAGTAGTTTTGCAGATCTGTATCCCCTTTCAAATCCAGATACCACTGGATATTCAGCAGATGAACTGCATAATGTTTAGATAGCTATCCTATGGGCAAATACTGACAAGTCTTATTACAGTGGTCTTTAAAACACACTGATCTCATTTTACTATTATAAAAGGGTTTAACATCCTGCTACAGACACACACCATCGTCTGGCGTGATGGTGAACATTTAAGTTCCAAGAAGAAGAGCATTAAAGGATCCTACTATGAGTTTTAAGAGAAAAATCAGTCTCTAACACCTTGGGTTTGGGACATTTTGGAGCTGTGTGAAAGCCTCTTAAGCTAGTATGGTTCAATGCAGATAAGATTTGATTTGTGATGCATTACAGAGGATAAAAAAGGGGGGAACTAGATCTAGCTAATTATATTTTATCCCATGGCCGCCTAAAAATAAAATCCCTGGGGTTACCAGGCAAATAGTAGTTCCAGGAAAATACTCCAGGGCATACAAAGGATTCTTTTTAATTGTTCTATCTTCAAGGAAATCACATGCTTACAACTCACAACTGAGACAGCAAAACTGTATATGGGACATAAAAGTGGATGTGATGATAGCATCATTTCACAACCCTGAGAAAGCCATGAATTTTGTTTTTTCTTAGAATCATGTAACAGCTTTGCTTGGAAGGGAGCTTAAAGATCATATTGTTCCAACCTCCCTGCAGTGGGCAGGGACACCTTTTACTAGACAAGGCTGCTCAAAGCCCCGTCCAATCAGACTTCCACAACTCCTCTGGGCACTCAAAGCTTTAAAACTGTTCTGTTGCCTGCAATTTCACAGGACCTTCTTTGGCAGCAAAGGTGAGACTGAGCACAGGCTCTGCATTGTTTCTCCTGCAGTTAGAATACAGATGTGGTATGCCAAAAACAAGGAGTGGCTGGAATCTTGATATTGCCAAAGAAACACATGAAACACCCATCCAGACGAGGCCAGGATGTAACCCTTCTATGAATTTGCCCACAAAATACCTCTGCTTTAACTTGCATTAAACTTCTTGCAGCACCAAAACCAGCATCTACACTCTGTGGGTTCCAGTAAGCCCAACACCATGGAGAATTACACTGCAGGACAGAGTTTAAAGATTTTTTTTAGTTTATGCATAGTCTAACTGCTCTTGCATTTCTGATCGTATAATTTCTGACTGCACAACAGTGGGTTTTAAAAGCTGTTTAGACTGGGCTTGTGGCTCTAAAAAGAGATTTATGGAACACTGAAAGCACTATGGAAGAACAGATATGTAGGCAATACAGCTTTAAACAAGCAATGCAACTGAACACACATTTGTGAAACTATGCTTTTTAAGTGGCTGCATTTGATGCTGTCCAGAGATGGCAGCTTAAGATCAGAATCAACCTCTGTCTCCTGAGCTTAGGGACCTGTGCTTCCTATGGATTTGCTTTACTGTGTGGATGGATATGAGTGATTTGGGATGGCAGCTGTCACACATCTGCAGGAGAATGCTGCCATCGATCCTACTCCTGGAGCAAGGAAAGCTCCCTGCAGTTCTACCGTAAGAAGTTTTTGGAACTTAGCAAACATTTCCCCAAAAACTGAAGATAACTTTAAGGGCTGAAGACATTGCTTATAACTTTAACCAAAAGTCATCACAAAAAATATCATTTTCTGTGTGAGGAAAGGAAGTTGTACCACTGAAACTGCAGGAACATGGTATAAAACAACCTCTTAATGAGGAATTAAATACCTACAATTCACAAAGGTAGAGAACGTCTAAAAAAAACCCCAGAATAACCCTAGACCAAACTGCTCTATTTAAACAGGAAATAGAAACAAAAGCTTCATCTCAAGAGAGAAGTAACTTAATTATCTGACTGCTCAGCCTAGTTTGTGGTGTCCCAGCTGATGTTAACTGTATTCACTACAGCAAATACAGGTAATTTTGCAAAACTGCAAATCAAACCAAATTCTGCTGTAGCCCTTTATCTATCCTACACAGCACTTGACTACATCTTGCAGCCGAGCAGCAATTTATGAATCCTGTATATAGGAAAATATTTTTCAGACATGATTAAAATCTTGCAAAAGCCACACAAAGATTTGGGCTAGGCCAGGATGTACCTTCTTTGTTAATTTGTCCAGTACAAGACATTGTAGATCATGTTCTCTCTTAACTTGTAATTAACTTCAGAGATTTGGAAGATGAAGGGCAAAGAGAACACATTCTCACCTGCTGCGTGCCTGACACACAGAGCCAGATTAATTCTGGCAGTGCTCACTGTTCAGCTACTTGCAGTGGACACCCATTGGCAGGAAACAGAGAAACCTCCCTAACAGTCATTTCCATCAACAGTGAAATTAGTGTTTACAGTGGTCAGCTACACATCTGTAGTTGGAAAATACATCAACAAGCTCTGCAAACAGTTTCTTAATCAACAGCATAATGACAGCACTTACATCCCCATGTTCATAAGTGTAGGAATTAATGAACAGTGTTCTACTTTGCTTACAGTAATGAGGTTTCAATCTACTACTGAATCATTTCTTTACTACAAGCAATGTCACCACAGTGTGAAATCGCTATTGACCACAGGCATACTCGACGTCAATACAAGCATCAGTTACAGGGCCATGGCCCAGGTTATGTGAAACAAGAGTTCTGTAAACAGACAGTGCAGGAGGAGATGAATCACACCCGTTTGGAGGAGTAAGACTTGAAAAAAGGGTATATGCAGTGGTGATGAATCCAGCCTATTTCAAGTGTGGGAGAACTTCACCTAAATTATCTCCTCCATCCTATTCTAACTTATGTTTACACCACACAGCACTTAACCAGGACATGACTGGCAGGGAACAGTGCTTCTGCAAATGCTGTATACAGATGAAATAGTGTTAGGCAGCAGCACTTCAAAAATTTTGAAGTCTGAGCGGTATGACTATCTTATACATTTCCAAATGCTGAGTGAAGAGCCAGGAAAAAGACAACAAGCAAGCATGATAAAACACAAGAAGCCTTGGTTTACAACTTCTATAGTAATTTGCTATGCAGTCAGATGTAACACCAAGAAAACAGAGATACCTGAGAAATCCTCCTAGCAGTCTTCTGCCTGATTATCTCCTACAATCTGAAGAAAAAAAAAGAGCAGCTGTTTAACTGAGGAATGTAACTGCTTATAATGAAAACAGTTAATCAAGAATTGGAAGACTGTCATTGCTCACCACAGACATGCTCTTTCCATTCTCTTTGTCTTTATAGATGATCTTCATCAGCATCTTAATGTCTCTGGCAGTTTTCCTATACATAATGCAAGGTGTGAAGGTATTTTGAACACCAGACATATTTGCAGTAAAGTCATCCTTATATGCACAAAAACGTAAATACTAGATTTGTAATCAGTGGTGCAGAAATAGCTTAATGGAGAATGAGGTAACAGCCTTCTGATGAAGAATCAGATCCTGTTCATCTGGAGACAGGTAAACATCCACAGACAACTGAACAGATTAAAAAAAAAGACTAAAAGACTAAAATGTGAGAAAGCATCAAATACTCCAGACTTAACTGTCTGTGAATTCCTTTTTTACATTTCAGCCAAGCAGCTTCCTGTTTGGATGCAAACTGACCCATGTCTCTGGCTGTGAAATGCACAATATTGGGAACTGGATGCTGGTGTTCTATTTATTGGCCCAAACTTTACCACCACTGGAAAATCACAAGCTAGCCCTGCCTTGAGGGACACACACTAGTAATCCTTCAGTTTTTCAAGATTCCAAGAAATCTACCTTTCCATTCTGAAATGAAATACAGCTGACAATGATTTTCCAGAAGGGGTATTGCTCTAAGCCTTTTAGACAAATTAGACCAAAATTTAATATATAAACAAGCAAAAAAACCCCAAACCAAATAATTTATCTAGTTTACCACTTCCAATTTAAAGAAGTTTTAGCTCCAAATTCTGCTTATGAAGCAAGATGCTTGTTTTGATTAAACAGACAGACATAGAACATGTGACTATTTCAACAATCAGCCTAAGTGCGTCCTCAGGTAGGCTTCAGCAGTTGCATTCTACTGAACAGCAGAATGAACCTACCAGCAGGAATCCAGGGCTTTTCCTCAGTCCTGTTCTCATACCTTCACTCCCAGGAGAACAGATGCTGAATCCTTGTTTCCAAAATCCAGGACTTTATGCACCTTCATCTAATGTTGGAATTGTAGCGTCCTCAGGAACTGACCAAGCTTACTGAAGCTGAAGAGAGGAAAAGGCAGAATTTTCAGGACTGTTCTCCAGGACACACTGGAGGAATGAGGGTATGGATTAAACAAAGATTTCCATCCTGATGATTTTTTTCCAAAAGGGTTTAAAAAGCACTTATTTTATTTGTAGTAAATGCCCACTACCCTCAGGGAAATCGCTCAGGCAAATCTCCAGACTGTGAGAACACAAAAACCTTGCTACTAAAAATAAATCCAAGATTAGCCCATAGCTTGAAGTGACAACTTTTTATTTTAGGCAAAAACAAAACAAAAAAAAGGCCAAAAACATTCCGCTATTGCAGTTTGTAAAATTTTCACTGTTTTCAGTAGAAACAGTTCACAAATCAGAACGCAATATTCAAATAACATTGTGCAAAATTGTACTGGCATAACTACACATAGCAAAAAGACTAGTGTAAATCAAGAATTCCATTGAAATTAGTTGAGCTGCTCCAGTTTTACAACAGTGTACATCACCTCAGAATAGGCCCTTTTTTTTGCAGAACATCCCTGGAATTCCTCTTGCTTACAAAAATTGCTTTACATGCAACAAGTAACCTATCAGTACAACATAAGCAAGAACATCTCCACTAGTTATCACAGTGTAACAGAGGAAAACATGTCAGCCAATTTCATACAAGGCAAATCTAATGGCAGTTTCAAACATCCCTTGACTGCTACCCTCAAAAATTGCACATTTCAATATACGAAATAATTTAGAATGAAGCCAAGCTGTGTTTGTAACAATCAGTACGTTGACAATTAGGATGGATGATGTGTTCAGAAGGGGTTTGTTTTGTTTTTTTTAGCTTAGTAGATTTTCCAAAGAGAGTAGTTTCAGAAGTTCGTGCAATAAAGGTTAATTTGCAGCGTTATCAGGCCAAGTCCTCTTCTGCTATTCAGACAGACCTGTCAACACTACAGAAGTCTCTGTAGTCAAATACAAATCCCAATGAAGAACTATTAAACAAAGACCATACCTCGAGTACTTACTGATGACATGCAATGAAACCAAGCAAGCAGTAACACGACTCCATCTACGTTTGGAACATTCAGAAAGAGACCTTGTGGATCAGCTGGGGATCAGGAGTGGAATTTCACAGAACACTTGTGAATAGTTAGAACATAGAACATTCTCTCCCCACTTGATGTGCAAAGTAACAGTTTCCAAACAATGCATCTAAGTAATTCTTTGTATAAGCACAATTCTAAGAGCAGAATTGATTTGAAGAGTTACTGAATTCCGACAAACTCATATCAAGAAAATATACAGGTACATCTTGCAGTAATTGCTCACTTTGTTTTCCTGTATACCCATATTCAGAAAAACAATTCTATAAGAACTCTGATCACAGTAAAACCAATTGTTCCCCAGTGCTTTTCACCTCCCTAGGTTATGAAGGGCTTACCTTCTATTGCCTTTCCTAAGAGCAAACATTTTTCGTTTAACATATATCAACCTGGCTCAGGTCTAAGTCATCTAATGAAGGGCACACACCTGAACTATGGAATTATATGAACTATGGAGAAAGCACAGTCCTGATGTTCTCAAGTGTTTGGGTGCTTTTATTTCCTTTATGCAGGTTATATTAATCTCATGAGGACAAGTAAGAACAACACACAAGCTTTGCTTTGGAGATGCATGTAAGTGTGCATCAGTTCTGGAAGAGAACAGCTCTGCAGGTCTGCACATATGAAAAAAAAAATCAAAAAAGGGTCTCAAAAATATCAGCTCTGCCTCCAACCACACAGATAAAAAGCAGCAGACCTATCCAGACTGTATGTGTGCATGCACATGCATCCTCCTTTGCCCTCTCAGCTTCATGTAGAAGCTGTCAAGTACTCAGCACGGAAACATTTAGCAAGGAAACATTTAGCAAGGAAATATGGACATCACTGGCACTGAGTTTCTGTGAAGACATCAGTCAGCATTTTAGAGACGGCAGGGAGAGAGAACAGGTAATATTTCAGCAAGGAATTACTGTGGTACCACTGAATTCTCTTAATAAGCAACAAGAAGTTCAGCCTGAGGCAGAGGAAAGGTTAATGGACATGAGTTTGTTTCCTTCTTCCCAAAAAGCTCAGACTCGGTGTTTTTCAACAGTCTCAGACTCTGAATTCCAGGAAATTGTATTTTAGAACAAATCAAAAAATAGCCCTGAGACTAAACATACTTTATAAGAGCTGCTATTGCTTTATGTAAAATCAAACACAGTAATAATTTACTTCCACAGTAAGCAATATTTAATTTTCACTCCCTTTTTTCCTCACTTGGGATAGGTACCTGAAATCAAGAATTTCTTTCCAAGATGGATGTACTTAAGTACTGTCTGTTAGTTTTTCAAGTACTTTAATGTTAATGGATTATGGCACTAAGCAAGGAAAGAATAGCTGATGCAGGTCATACTTTACCAAAGGAGCCCTCTTCCCATGTGCCTTGAGTTTTTGAAAAAAACATTCCAACAATCACAACGGTCACCATGGACTTCATTACAATGAATGCCTTCCTTGTGATTTAAGCTGAATTTACAACTGGAGTAACATCATTTAATATATCTCAAAGTCAACTACCAGTGTTATTGAACTCAACTACCAGCCTTTAAGTGGGGCTAGAAGTGTAGAACACCAAGAAAACAAGAATATCAAATGTGTCAAGTTGTGCATAAAAATAGACCTTTACTTTTTCTTAAGCTACAAAGTAGGGAATCAAGGAACTGACTAGGTCTATGCATAGTTAGGATTTTAAGTAAGCCAAAAGAATTTGAACTCTTTTGGTAAAACTGTGCTTGTGTAATGCACAGGTCAGCTCCCCCAAAAAATGAACATCTCACTCTATACAGAAAATAATTTTTAAAAAGCTCCATGCACTCTCAAAGCTATTTGCAAATCGGTTTAAATACTTCAGCTAACAGCTATGCCATGGCACATGACAGCACATAAAAAATTTAAGGCTAATTTTTGTCTGCACACATCAAAGCTGGTCTCCGAACAAGAGATGTCATATTTTCTTAACTCTGAGTCTTTAGTGTGGATTCACAATAAACTTGAGCTGCCACAGCAATAGTAGAGTTGTCCTGCATATAAAAAAGACTGAATGTTGTCCTGAATGCAGTTTTTTTATAAAAAGTGGAAACTTCACACATTTACATTTGGTTTTTATCAGAGCAGCTCACTAATTTGTACAGTACACTGTCCAATAACATACAAGGTAAACTACCAGAGAGATACTCAAAGTACTACAACAACAGGTGCAAAAGAAAGTCCTACAGTAAGAAAGCTCACTGCTGTTTGGGAGAGTCACACTGTGATGAAAACAAACATCAGAATGCATTTTGGTGAAGTCAGTCAAGTGTCAAGGCTGTAATAAAGGCTATTAGTTAACTTTAGCCCTTCTCAATGGTTCTTAACCTTTCAGTTAAGATCTCCTAATAAAGCACTAGGTAGTTTGGCAACAATGAAGTTCTTTACATGCTACCGTTACAGAAATAGAAAACAGACTTAAAAGCACTTCCTTCACCTGATTATGATCTGGATTCAGTCACACCAGGTTTAAACAAATCTATCTAAAGCAGTAAATTTTAGACTTCAAATTGCACTGTAGTGTTTCAGAAGAAACTAATATCCACAAAGCCTAGAAAAGAGCTATCAACTGCCGAAATTACGCAAGTTTGATGCACAAAGCTGCTTATTTTTAAAATTCTGTTCCTCAACAACTCCAGGTGACTGCAAATGTCAGTGCAAATCAAAACCGTTACTTCAAAACATCCTGTCCATTTTCATAGGAAGATAGTAAACCAAATTATGCTTGTTTGCTAATTTAACAGGTGAAATACTTTCATACTTCCTGGTACAATTTTAATTTACTGATTTTTTTTTCATAATGTTTTAAAAATACTAGAGAACTTCCACATTCTAGTATGATTTACACTTACTTGCTGAATAAAGTACACTGCAATCGTAGTTACTAATACAGGATTTAAAGGAACAGCAAATATGCATCAAAATTATGATTATTATCTGCATACATATGCAGGGGTTTTTTCTCTCACATGAAATGTTTCGAAGCAAATTAATCATATTAAGCACTGAACAAGAACAAATGTTATATTTGCAGAATCATCTTTAAATAGTTGCCGTTATGAGGAGACCTGAGAATACAACTGATCCATGGAAGCTACGTAGATGGAAATTGTGTATGTGCAAGCCAATGAGACCTGCTTTATTCAGCTTTTATTCAGACCCAGAGACTGCTCACAATGACACTTAGAATTATTGAATCTAACTCTGTCAAAGAGGTACAAGATCAACTTGTTTTGGAAGTGACTATGACACTGGTATTCAGGTCATTGCAGTTTTCTGCATATCTATAAATGTATTAACTCAAACCCAAGTAATGCACTCCAGCAACACATGAGAAGCCTCAGAGAAGTTCCTGAACAGTTTTTGTTTGCAGTTGCCTTTCCCCCCCATTTTTGCCTTTTACTGTAATTTCAAAGCAACCATAAACTGCCACATTATCAGGACAAACCAAGTATCAAAAAATCCTCAGTTTTACATGCCAGCCTAAGCTGCTAGTCAAAAAGAGAGCTGCTGCTGTAAACTTCTGCATAACAGATATCATGCCTGACAAACCATCACCTTCAACGGACACACAAACACCACTATGACAAAAGGGAGGAAACCATGCACAGGTATTTCAGGATTATGTGGCCAGGGTCTATAATACAGTGATGAGTCACGTCAGAGCAAATTTGTACCAAGAGTGATTAATGATTCAGGCTGACTCATAAGAATCTAAGCAAGCCTGTTAGAGTCAAGTATTTCCTGGAAGAAAGAATACCAAGTAAGAGGATACTATATCTTTTCCCTACATCTGCACAAAATTTCTATGGACAAATAGAACAATACCAGGACAAGTGCTTTAAAATGCAATTTTCCAGCCAATAAACCAACACTAGCAGGAATTCTGTGAAGGAAGGAGTTTTAAGAATGTGACTTACCAGAAGCACAATTTTTTTATATTAAAAAAATGTACACTATATACTAACACTGTTTTTGCATACTCTTCTGTTTTAAAAGTTTCAAACATATTAACTTTTCTTGCTTTGTTTAGGTCTGAGGCTGTTCAGCAAGGTCACATAATTTGAGACTGCTATAATAGTTCAGCAATCCTTTGGTCCCATCAGCTGTAAGCCAGCCAAGTATAAAAGAATCTTCCCTACCAAAGGAAAAAAAAAAAAAAAAGGTAGGGGGATCATCACCAGGAAACACCATCTACAAACCAGAAAAGGCAAAATTTTGTTACAAAATACACATTTTTCATACAAAAAAGACATCTTGCAAAACCATCTGATTGCGCCTCCCTCTGCAGATTACAATGGTAAATGGGATCAGCTGGCTGGTCTTGAGACGTTTTTAATGGGAAAAAGAAAGTCAGAGGACACACACCATCACAACAACTGGTCCTTTAAATGGCAAAGGATTATGACAGTCTGTTTTCACCAGTGTTTAAAAAAAGGAGGAGAGAAACAGAACCAGAGTCTTCAAAAGCAGAAAGTACAACAGCATATCAGCTGCTGCATCCTCCTGAACTTCTCAATGTGCTACCGAAATTATACAAACAGTTTGATTATGGCAGTGCCATAAATTGTTTTAACAATGTGTGTGTGTGATCAGAAAGGTCCGGTCAATTGGTTCCATTTTTTTCCCAGTAGTTGCCCAGAAAAATGTCAAGACAATCAAAATTATTCTTCAGCTTCCTCAATACATCCTGACTGCTGGAGCAGAGAGGTCTGTGGTATTACTGTACTTGTTCCACGAGAGATCCTGTCTTGATCTGTGTTTGTAGTCAAGGAGGCCATAGAAATGGGCTGTAACAAACCAGGCGTCATGCTGGAGGAGACAGTCAGGCTGTGTGTAGTGCCCTTAAGTGTGAGATCCTGTGTGGGAAGAAGTGGCTTGAGGATGCTGACAAGACAGAAAGCAGAGCCACTTTTCGGAATGAAATTCACTTTGTTCTTGTCAGGGCAATAGAAGGCTGGAATTTCATGCAATGGCTTTGGCCTAGAAATAAAATACACACAATAGTTTTATGGAACAATCAAATTCTGCCAATGGCAGGGATGTGGTGCTGAACACATCATCAGAAGCAAGTTGAGGTTTCAATGTGAAGTATTTCAGCTACTCAATAATGCCTTAATGACACTCATAGCACACTGCAAATGACAAGATGGCTTGAACAGCTTGCATACACGTGCTGCAAGGCAACAGCATGTTCTTAGGGCAGGCTGTTTCCAAACCTAAGGAACCCAACCAACTTCATGCTTGATCACAAACCCTATCCAAGAATTAGCACATTCATTATATGACAAAGTATTTACAGTTGTGTCCTCCAGAAACTTTCACAACCCAACCAATTCTGCCCCACATACACTATTTATACAGCAAACCCTGTGAAAGAAAGCTGACATAGCAATGATCCTAATATTGCATATCTCACAGGGGTTCATTATCATCAGGGGATCCCCTTTTCTATACTTCTGCCCTCTTTGCATGTTCACGTGACTGTGCCCTGACTCTCCGCAGAAAATGACCCCAATCTTACTAAAAATCTCAATGCAGAGAGTAAAGTCAGTTCATAATGAAAAACAATCTATAACCTGGGAAGGAAGTGTGGAACACATATTTAGGATCCTGACTTGCAGTTTTGCCATCTCAATATAGAACTCAGCCCAAGACATGCTTTAAGAAAAACAGAGCTAGAATGGAAATCACTGATAGCTTAGGAATGCCTTCTGTGTTCACTTCTGTGTTCTAACATTGCAATGCAAATCTACTTACAGTAGCCAAAGTCTGCTTCAAAACGGAACTATAGAAATCTGCTTTAAAGTCTCTCTTTACTGCTTGAAAATAGCCATCAGAAATTTTTATTCACTTCTTTTTCTTGCCAGCATTGTCCTTTAGCCTATAACCTCTCCCTCCCTTCCCTGTGTTTGTCAAAGAGCCATGCTCACTTCTGTCTTGGTTTAATTAAGCCAAGCAAGACAATCTTCCAGTATATTCTTGTAGAGATACTTTATTCTGAAAAAAATTAATTATGTTCATGAAATAGGGTACATTCCCATGCTAGCTGATTCTCCCAAATGTCCAGAAAATTCAACCCCACTTGTAAATTTTCTTCCCAAATGAAAATCCTGTATAGGATTTTCAAATAGAAATTACGTTAAACAAAGGTTGAGCTTGAAGTAGTTACACTCATGTATTCCACATACACATGGAATTCAAATAACAGACATGAAAAGACGTTTTTTCATGAGAATGCAGTGTCTGAGGACTGCGATAGCGAGGAAGAAACTTCCGTAGAAGCCTATTGCACACTACAGCAGAACAGTCCTACAGAGAGGACTTAGGAAAAGAAATGAAAATGCAAGTCAAACTGCAATAGAGTATGCTCCTGTAGCAAGAAAATACTATCTCTCTGTTGGCAACATAGTTTATACACACTAAAACAGAGACAGGTAACTTCAGTTACTGTAACCCTTCCTCATTGCTATGGGACAGGCTGTAGAGACCTCTCAACATCCATTTGCACAGGTCAGCCAAGCTCATTTTTTTAAACTAACATTTATACTAGATGACATTCTTGATTTTTGTAACCAATCTATACTCCTTGTGTAACAAGATGGAATTTTTAACTGTAGGTTAAGAGTCTTGCATACAAGTGATGTAAGGGTATAAAAACTTCTCTGAAATAATAATAAAATATAACCTCTCAGAATATTCCCAAATGACAAAAGTTGGCTTTTTCAGAATAATCAATGCATCAAATACTCAGGGTCAAGTTCAATCCCCTGTCACTAGAAGTTTCACAACTACATTGATTTAACTGAAAAGAATATGGTCTTCAGAGTCTAGATTACTGGATGTGTCTGTCAAGCTGTGACATACATTAGCTGCACTACAGCCTGTTATTACCTCTTTCCTTGTCTGGTTATTTATATAAGAGACTCTTCTCAAACGATGCTGGTTTTTAAAAAACATCACTCAAGATAGTAACACTAAACTCCAGCAGTAAAATACATATAGATATGCTAGTATACAGTTACACCAAAAAACAGAGATCAGGCTTTTAGCATGGCTTTAGCAAGTGGACCAATAGCTTCTATCTAACACAAAATCAATAAAGCAATAACTAATCTGATTGTTAAATGTTATTTCTAATGTAGCAAAAATCAACTTACAAGTTTTCCTCAAAGACTTTCACCTTTTCACAGCCCTCAGGAGGTTCACGCTTGAACATGTAGCTGTTGTTGGGTTTTGGCGAGGTAGCGTATTTTGGCAAGGGAGAATTATTCCCATTTTCTGCAGGAATAGAGTTTCTCATTACTTAAATGTGACACACTATAAAAAAACCAGAAGAGCTACCTTTAAATGCCCCCAGAACTTAAAGCCACTTCATTTAAATGTTACAAAATTCAGAAACATTTTCATTTTCCTTCAAAGCCTTCATTTACAAATAAGCTATCTCAATTCCTTTCATTTTTTCTATTTCTCCTTATAACATTTTCAGGCTCCTCTACAATCTCTTATCATTTCTGGACATTTTCAATTTGTAACTGCAAAACCTAAATCTATGGCTCTGTGCTGTCACCATCTTCCCAAAAGAAATGGGCAGAAGCCATATTCTTTAAAGAAACAGAACAAGTTTATGTTCAACTATAAAATTATCCTAGGATTTCTCAAAAGATTTCAGATAAAAAAAGAATAATTAAATGAACCCTAAACATTTAAGCTTTCATGGGTGTGTGTATGAAATGCTATAAGGTTGCAGATTTTTATCAAGATCATAAAACACATCCGACACAAGCAACAGGTGTTGTGCTGTTTCATCTGATCCTATACATTCTTGCTTCTTCAACCTGCTTAAAATACTTGAAGAATCTATTATTTAAAAGAAAAGCTTTTTTGGAAGCACATTTCTCATCTACCCAGCTTTAATTAATATGTGCACATACAGTATTTGGAGCAATTTGGAAAAAAACAGATCACATACAAAAAAACCCACATTCTACCATTTCTCCACAGACGCAGGGAACAAACCCTCTTTTTTACCTATGTTGTAATGCACATGGCCCAAGTTCAGCACTGCTCAACTTTTAAAGTGACACAGTACCTTTATCTCTGGAATCACCAAGCAGATCATCTGCAGAACACGGACTTTCCTCACTGCCTTCATTACAGATGGTAAGAAAGGAGGTTGGAGACACTGACTGGGAGCGGCTGCTGTTGTTACTGCCCTTGTCTGCTCCACCGGGGGTTTGGGTGTCAATGCTGCGAGTGCTGCTGCTGCGCTGCACCAGCGGAGGCGGGGCACGGTGCCCGTCTGGAATATCTTGAGGCTGCCAAAAATTAAAGGGATCAGACAGCTGCTCTTGTCTGGCTAGCAGTTTCTTTAAATCCAGTAATGGTGAGGGTCTTTTTGGGTTTCATAAAAACATTTGAAGTAGAAAATTTTATTCATTACATGCAACTCTGAAAGAATCTAAAATGTCAGGTTCAGAAACTAAAGACAACAGTTTTTAAGGTCTCACATCATCACAGAATTGCTGAGGCTGGAAGAAACCACTTGAGATTATCAAGTTTAACAACTCTGCTCAAGCAGACCCAGGTAGAACAGTGTGCTCAGAATTCTCTCCAGTCAAGTTTTTAACATATCCACAGACTTCGCTTGGCAACTTGCTCTGGGTTTTGTACACCCTCGCACATTAAAAAAAAAAAACAAACAAAAACATAACACTTTTAAATTTATGCCCACTGGCCCTTTTCCCATCACTGGGCACCACTGAGAAGAGACCAGCTCCCTCCATTTCTGCACATGAGATATTTATGCATTACATTGATAAGATCCCCAGAGCTGTCTCTCCTCAAGGCTGAACACTCCCATCTCTCCCAGCTTCTCTTCATATCAAAGACATTCTGGTTCCTTAATCGTCTTCACAGTCTATTTCTGATACCTTATTACTAAATTCACCTCTAAATACCATTAAAATAAAATGAACATTAAAAATGGGCAAATTATGGTTCACCTAGGATGGGGACAGTTCAGCATGGGCAAAAAAGAGTTACTACAAAAACTCTCACAACAGACATTTTGCTTTTCCCCATTTTACTGAGATTTCTTATTTAGAGGAAAATGTTCAGATTCAAGCTTTAACTATTTCCTTTCTTTTGCTTTCCAAGACACTTTTCAACTAACCTTATTAAATAAAATAATAAATACAAATATAAATAAAACTAATTCCAGATAAATTTTATTCAAAAACGGTGCAAAATAAAGTTTATGACGATCTCAAAGCAAAACCAAAATAATTATATAGAGTAATCATGGTGGCAGATACATACAATAAGTTGTTCTTCTTTGTCTCCTGTCTCCTTAATTATTATTTCAATCTCTTGATTCAATCCTTCCACACTGTTTCGGAATCGTGACCCCGTTGATTTGGTTATAGGTATCACAGGAACGAGAGCACTCTTCGGGATAGGAGCCTAAAGAACCAGAGACAATAAGAAAACAATACAGATTTATTTACAAAACAAAGTTACTATTTCTACCCAAAAGTGGCCCTTGAAACAGAACACATCTACACTTCAGTATAAAGGATTTACATGAAAACATAGTGATTGTATTTAAGTGGGTACTCGAACTGAAGACAGACACCCTGAATTTTGTTTCAAATCCAATTTCTAGCAGGAAAAGTTATATAACCTAGTCCCAAAATCTACCTTGATATGGTCTGCCTCTAGCTTGATATAGCTTTGCAAGTGAAAGTGAAATAGCAAACATTTAAATGTAGTAATTTTGAAGCCTTTAAAATACATTCACATTTCTCCTAAAGTGAGCTATACCACAATGTCACATCACTCGTTGTTGGATTGTAACCATATTAAAATTATATTTTAATGGAAATCTGTGGCCACCTGCAATAACCTGACACATGTAGAAGGAAAATTATTCCACAAATGCAAGATTGCACTATGTTAAAAATTAAGACAAATGCATTTACTGTATTAAGACAGAATAAAAGATTGACAAAACAACTCAGGGAGATTTCCACAGGAAGACTAAAATCCCAAACCCAAATGTTAATACTTAGTTGCTGCAGAATGAAGATTAACAGTTTAAAAATCCCATGTTTCAAAAGATGCACAACAATTTCAGTCTCAGAACACACAATACTGAAATTTCCCAAAGCTCCCTTTGGCATATCACAACTTCTTAAGATTTCCCAGCCTTTCCATGAGCAGCTGCCCTCCCGTTAGAAGTCTCCCTACCAGAAGACGTGAAGATTCTGCACTCATTAAGCAGGAGTGTACTACAGGTAATGTAATACTTCCTACAAACATTTAATTCAACTCAAAGAACAGCACAACACACTTAAGTCACAGTAGAATTCTCATGTAGAATTCCTGGACTCTATGGCCTATTGTGCCATGATTGAGAGCTACTCCTCTACTGACTAAAGGACCAGCATTATCTGGTCTTCAAAGGGTATTTTTATGAGGGGGTTTTATTTTAATTTTTCCTTTAAGTAACAAGACTACATAGACAGACACCAAAGCATTTTAATTTCCTGTGTACATTCTCAAAAAGCACACAAAGCTTGTCTGGCAGAAAATCTACCTCAGAAAAATTAATGTAAACAAGATATTTTAAGCACAGATCACAATGGAGACTTCTTGTCACAATCACAAATCTCTGTAGCAGCAAAACTCATTAATTATATTGGTTCTGCTTTCCTGAAACATTAGATTAGCCATAAACCTCCCCCCCCCCCAAAAAAAAAACCCAAACAAAAAAAAACCAACTCAAATAAGACTTGCACAAGAACTACAAAAGCTTCTGTTCAGGAAATGCTTGTCACTCTATTTCAGTCAACAAAAACGAAACATTCTCATAGTAGCCAAACTTGTAAAAACTTTCTAAAGTCTTGCCTGAAGATGAAAAAAAACCACTAGAGAAGAGCACAAAAAAGTCTCAGAAAACAACCCTGCTAATTCTGTTCCAAGCAAGGTCTTGGATCAACAGTCCAGTAAACTAATACAGGTTGATATTCAGTCACAATATAGATATATCAGCACAATTTCAGGCACTAAAGGCTGTTTATGCACCTAGTTATCCTATATATACATTCTTAGGCCATACTGAGCTTGTTAAGAAGTAGAACACAAGTATGCTTTAAGATTTCAGCAGCTATTATCAAAATGTGGGAATTCTTCACCTTTAAATGTGATTGCCTACCACAAAAATTTTTAGGTTCATGGTACTATTTGATGAGCTCAAAGTAGGTTTAGTAGAGTTCAATATAGTTCAGTACAGCATGTTTCACTTCCAAGAAAAATAATATTCTGTACATGACTGAGGATGATTTCTTAGCCTAGAGTGCCTGAGGGTGGAAAAGGAAGGAGGTATCATGACATGGGTAGAACAATCAGCCTCAAAACAAGAAACTTTTTATTAGAAATAAATAAACTTTCACAGAGGTCTGCATGGACATGCAGGAATGGGCTACCAACCTTGGACTACTCATCTGAATAGCTGGGAATGCTCATCAGGAGGCAAGGTGCCAACCACAGGATAATTATTGTGCTCACACAGTAACACACTGGCACAGAGTTTTCACTTCTGAAACTTACAGGTACGGCATAAACTCGCCAGGTCGGAAAAAGGGGTGATGACAAATCTAAACTGTTCACAGGAAAAATGCTCTAAGCTCTTGCAATTTATCCTAAATAACCAAACTTTAAACAGAATCCCAGGACTTGTGATGCCTTTACATCAAGCCACCTCTAGGTTGAATGGACCATGGTAATTTTACTCTAAAAATGAAGTGTTCCACCTTGTGTGGTGGTAAGAGTGACATCAAAAAAACCTAAACCCCCAACACTGAACTGCATACAGTTGATCTCAGTACCAATCAGTTGGTCAGACATGAGGGATGCATGGTTCCCAGGAAAATGAAAGGAGCAGGGGCCTTGATGGTTCAGAGTGTCAAGTAAAAATGTAATATCAGCCAAGTGCACTGAGGAAAAAAACAGTATGTTGGAAAAAAAAATCCATTTATTCTTCCATCTGGTTTCAGTTCTGGCCTCAATTCTAGTTTCTCCATTATGCCAACACTGAGAATATAGAAAGATCCCATTGTTTCAACTCCTGTTTACAGATTTAGTACCATACAATTAATTCAAAATGTTCTCAGAAGCAACCTGAGATCACCTGAGTAGGCTATGACCTTTCTGCAAACTCCTCTTCCAGGTAAGAGAGACAAAGGAAGGTTTCTGGAATAATGAAAAAACCGCACAAACAAAAAACATTCATTTGCTCTGAACAAAAACTGTAGTCAACAGCAAGGACTTGATCAAGGTCCTCCCCAACTATTTCCTGATTGGGAGTAGAGGGTCAGGAACAGCTAACAAGCTTATTCCATAGAGATTGTGTGGCCTTCTTTCTTCACACAAAAATTATATTAGAAAGAAGCACAAAATAAACAACCAACTAGAAGCTTAGTTGGCAAGAATCACTAAAAATTTTGCTATAATTCAAGAATTGTGGTGAAGTTTAAGTAGGGAAGAAAAAAGGAAATTAATCAACTAAAATTTCTTCTTTTAACTAGAAGAGAATGCCATTTTCCAAATGTTAAACAGAGTTTACCCAGTCTCTATGAAGGAACTACTGACACAGTTTCCTAACAGTTTCTCTCACCTTGTCAGGAATCCAACTCCTTGAGCTCAGAAATCTTTACATGACCCTTTAGAGTCATGTAAACAAACATAAAAGTTTCTTTCAAGCTAGGAATGTCGGGAAAAAAAAAAAATCGAAATATTCTAATTACTAAATTCTGGTTTCCACACAGTTATTCCCACAAATCCTGAAGGAACAGAGCTGATGCCAGAAATTCTAGTTTAGCAGTTCTCAAAAAAAGAATGAGAAAATCCAGGAACTTTGCCCTTCATGACTACAGTTACAGATTTTCACTTGAGTTAAAAAACAGCTGCTAAATGCCATTAATCTAAACTCTTCACTTACTCTTTGAATCCTTCTTTAACTTCTTCCCTTCACAAGTAGCTTGACACAGTTGGCACAAAATTCACCAAGAAAAACAATGTTTTGTTTTGTAACACAGTCCTGGAAAAGCTGCTTTGCTTCAATTTGTATTTTACAGTTTGTTTCACAAGGTCAAAAATTAATTATCGATTGCACAATATTCAATTCACATACTATAAAATTTGGCAGAATGTAAAGGCATCCATACCAGAAGCAAAACAATAAAATAATTATGATTTTTAATGTTATATACATAATTTGTGGACGTATTTTTCAGGATAGCAGCATCATTGCTCATTTTTGAAATTAAAAGTCACTAAGATGATCTGTCCTAAAGAGGCAATACCTTAGCATTCATCAACCCACAGATTTGTAGAATGCCAAGCAAGCCTGTTAAAATGCATGTAATTCTCCAGTGTAATAAAGGGCCTACATCAAAAGTTCCTCAATATACCTTTTGATTGAAAATGTCCTACATTTCTGTTCTAAAACACCTTAATCAAATATGTTGATCTGTCTTTTGCTTTGTTTTGGTTTTTTTAACCAACAGTTTGATGCATTCTCTATGTTGATTCTCATGAACTTTCTCAAAACCCCTTAGAAAGGCATTGGGTCATTTCTTTGTCTTTCTTCGTTGATAATTTTGGACTGTTCTGACTCGAGCAGTCAGTAAAATCAGCAGCACAGTACACTGCACCCACACTTCAGTAATCCCTGAATTGCTATGTAAATAAATGTAATTCTAAAAAAAATTCCTAAACATTTCCAGTAGCAAAGAATTCAAACTACTGACAAACTGAATTCAAGAGGCATGCAAATCCTGAAAAGTCATGACTCCTAATTAACTGTCCTACAGCAGGGATAAGAAGTTAAGGTCGGAGACAAAAGGTGCTTTTATACAAAGCAGGAGTTAAGAAAAACAGAGCAGAAGAAATTCAAAACACTCTATTTTCTTATTTTCATTCTTGAAGTAGGACACATTCACTCAGACTTTGAAAGAAAGAATGAAAGAACCTGGCCTAAATTATTTCCAGAAGGATGGAATAACAGAAATGAAAACTTTTATTAACTGATTATGGTATTTATTAGAACAATTAATGGCATTTCAGGAGTAATTAGGAATATGATTACATTTCCACAGAAGCTTCACAGCTGAAGTACTTTCTCAATTCACAACAGTTTTTCAATTACATTGCCCTGCCAAGGCTATTGTGAGGGATTTGTTCTTTTTGTAACTGTTAAAAAAATAGTGTGTATCAAATGTACATTCATGAGATATCAGTAGGGAGAGAAAAAAATTTCCTTCTGGAAAAAGGACCAAAGTTTTCTACTGGTTTTCTTAAAGTTACTCAAAAAAAACCCAAAAAACCCAAACCAAACAAAAAAAAAACCCAAACAAACAAACAAACAAAAAACCACACTTGAAAAAGGATCTGTGTTTCTAAAAGCCTATAATTTTTTTACACTTGTTACCAATTGAACTAAAAATATTACACCTCTATCAATCTGACCTCATTAGAAGATTTGAAATAAAACTGAAACTGCACACAGAACATGCCTAACCATGGCCTAACCATCACAATTTTTGTAGAAGGGATTATTACTTTAAGTCTCAAGGCATGAAAAATGACAGGGGAAAAAAGGATAAAATCGAATGAAGTTACGAAGTATGTAAACACTTACATAAATAATCCCATGGAGCAGCCTTTTATCAGGTGAGCTCTTTAAATCTCAACACAGTATAGATGAGTGTTTGGCAAGACAACAAAATGTGCTCAGAAAAACCAGCTTTTATTTGAGTATACAGTTTTACCAGCAGTTTACTCCATGCCATATTCTACATGCATCATAAAAATCATAATTGTTACAGCAACATGTAATGAAGAAGATGGTCTATAGTTCTAGATTAAACTTATCTGTCATCCTTTTGTGGAACCTGCAGAATGCACTTTAAAAACCTTGCTTTAAGGACATATTTAACTACCTGAAATTACTTGAAAGTGGGAGTTCAAAGCCAGCTCACCCAAGTAACAAAAAGATCTGGGCCCCATTCACTCAAGCAGCCAAAAGCAAGAGCTCTATTTCACAGAATTCACCTATAGCTACAACACATTTAGCAGTCTGTGGTATTTCTAAGCTCTCTCTAAGACAAATCACAACCGTGAAAGGACCTAAAAGTAATATTAGCTACCCAACATGGCCAAAAAGCACAGAGGCTTACCTGACTGTGGTTAATGGCTGCATGGTTGCCATGAAAAGGAGACTGTCTTTCCTTGTCCCGATGGTGCCTGCTGCTGTGTTTGCTTCTCTGCAGCTGTTGACGCAATTTTGCAATCTAACAAAGGAAAAATTCACATCAGATTTCAACACGTGTATTTAAGTACACAGGTAATTTCATCCATTTATTCCATCACTTAGTTAAAATGGTTTGCTACCATAATACTCATAATTACTGCTAGCACTGGATTATACTCAAGTTCTTGCAAACCTAGAATGTTAGCTATCACTTCAGCTGATGCTCAGAAGACACCTCTGAAAGTTTAGTGAAAGAACTTGAAATACATCAAGTTTGAAAGTAGTGAGGTCATTGCTGTTATTTCCTTCTTTGATGAAAAAATGTCACCTGCATTTAACATTTTCTTTCTCACATATTCAGATTGAAAATATTAATTGACCTGCATTGCTATATTAAATCAATATAAAAAACAGCCATTTCGTATTTTTTACCAAGCCCACCACCTCTATCATTAAACAAAGTAGTAAAATACTCCTTCCTTCCTGAAGCATCATGGTATCAGTGCATACCAAAAAGTCATTTAATCCAAAGTTATTTCAAATAAAGGCATTTCTGACCTCCTTAAGCTGCTCATTGCTGCCCCATGATGATGAACGTTTGTGTGAGCTTCTCTTCTTTTCTAAATATTCCTCAGCCCAGGCACTTTCTGTCTGTAGGAAGAAGATTACAGGATTAATTAAAAAAGGTAATTGCTACTTTCTGGCAGAATATTTTCAGACCAATTAGAAAAGAGAACATTTAAGATATGCTAGATTCAGAACTGAAAGTGAACAGTAACCAACTAGAAGCCTTTCTCACAGGTAAAGTATGAAAAAGTGGAATGAAATTATATAAATAAAAAACCCCAAACCCACAACTTTCAGACCTAGTGTAATATAGGGATGTGCTAGTTTCCCTTCCAAATGACTGAGCATAAGGCAGTACTCAGCCAGCTGTACCACAGGCTGCTACAGAGCTCAGAAGAACCAGAGTGAGGGTGTTGAACTGGGGGGAGATGGTATATGTCATTTCCTGCACAGATGCTGACCTTGCTGTTTCTGAAGCATCAGCAAGGGTGGCTTGGTGTAAGTGCTGTGAAAGCCTGCACCAGCACAGCTTCAAAAGCATGTTCTTGCTCTCAAGAACGAGAAAAAGAAAAGCAAGGCATAGAAGCACCACTAGAGTTATTGCAAAGCAGAGAATAAATTTATTAATGCCTGAAAGGGTCCCAGGTTTACAGTTGTCCCAGGCCAAGCCAAAAGTAACACAGATAATACTAAGCTGGTTTCACTAAACCAACAGAGCCATTAGTGTTTAATAAAAAATCTCACAAACATATTGTGGTGAAAGAGTTTTGAGAAATGCAAAGTATCATTAAGACACACTTTATTTCAGGTAAAAAAATGCATAGGCCAGCCTGTGATAATACTACATGCTTTATGGACAGTTTGTATTCCCATCTAGCCACCTCCAGGAATGTCTTCAAAAGCAGTGAACTGTAAAGGCTCTAAGAAGACAGATAGTAGCATCTATCAGTAATCTCTGAGCAATCACAGGAAATACACCTAATGAAGCAAGGGGAAGAATTTCTGGAAGCACTTTACACACAAGAGACAGCAAATTCCTTAAAATTCACTCTTGCCACCATGCAGTTCTTAGCACACAGTGGTGATCTAGCTAACCTCATTTTTTGGATACCACTTTCTCCTACAGAGAAGAACTTTGATTCCCTCAAAGTCTTCACACCTGCAGTGTGCCGTGGTTGTTCTTACTCGTGAGACTAAAAGCTTGCAGAAGCCACAATGCTGCCCTTTCTTACCCCAACTGCACCTGTATCATTGAAACTCAAGTCTACTGTGGTAGTAATCCCTATTTAGCAGAGAATATGGAGCCTTAACTCCAAATATACAGGTTGCAACACCACCAGTTTCAGTTACAGACACAAGTTTCATATAATTGAAACCTTCATTATCAGTACTTTTTAATCTTCATCATTCCAAATCAAAAACTAACTATGACAAATCTGAATAATAAATTTAATAGAGTTGCTTTGAAATTCCTATTTCATAGCAAAATCAGAATCCATTACAATCTGTTTTTCTAGAAAAGCACACACTCATCTTTATCATAAAATAGAATAATTGATAACCCCCATTCCCAAGTACCAATCTTTGTCTAGTCAATTCTCAATGTCAGTCAGGAGTATCATCCTATCCTCTAGCTCCTGGAACAGTCAGCTTTACCTACTAATTCTAGCTTCCCAACTCAGCACAACCATTACACTTGTCTACAGGAGAATAATTAACACTCTAATTAGTCTTTGCCTTTAATTTATATTCAAGACTTTGACTCAAGATTCAAGAATTATTTAATAAATTAATATCAGATTAATTTAAAGCGGTAAAGTTGCTTTGATGCTCATCCTCAAAACAAAATAGTTAAAAATCTTTTCAGATTCAACTATAGGAAACCTGTACATTTAAACAGAAATGTAATACTATTTTAGCAATAAAATAGTTTATTCCTGTTTATTCCCCAATTTTTGTTTATAATACTTATTGTCAAGAAATAGACCAAATAACCAATAGGCAAAATGGAATTTATATTTCTCTAAGTTCTTGAAGTACTACTACTTATTAGTTGTTACATGCCCAATACCGTCCTTCCTCTCTAGAATTACAAAGAAATTAGTTTAAGGCTAACTTTATTACAGACAATAAAACACTTCAGAAAAAAGTCTTAAGAGGCAAAAACTTTCCAGCCAAAATGGATTATTTAAGCATTAAAAAAATACAAAGTAATTGTCTCATTTTAACTTGTAAGACAAGCATGTTTCATTCAAAGCAAAAAAAAAGACAAGATTATTAACACCTGTTTTATGAGCACTTAAAACAACATGTGCAGGTATGAATTCCAGCCAGACCCTATGATGCTCATTAATACAACTATTCATCATCCAACAAATACTGTTATAATTCAGTCTAGTTTTATAGACAGATTTCATCAAAATGCTCAGTTGCAGGAGGAGTCTGACAGGGAGACAGTCTCTGCATGACCTGGGGTCTCTCACACAGCTCTCAGCTATGACCCATGGGCATCTCTAGAAAGGCCTGAAAGCTGAAGTGTGCCACTCATTGCTGTCTCTTCCCAGTCTGCTTCCTGAATGACTCTACTCCCTGTGCCATAATTCCACACAATCAAAATACCCTGCTTACTGAACTTGAAAACCTTCTACAACTTCGCAAATTCAATTCCTGTTTTCTAACGGCTTGGAATCAGAACACATACATTTCATATCAGACTTCATGAAATCTGAAATTACACACTGGAATCAGACTAACTCACAAGTGAAACTTCATCCAAATATGACATTTTCAGAAAAGTTGAACAATACAAATGGGCAGCCTGTATTATCTTGGGAAACTCACCATTCTGAGTCATATTTTAAACTTGTCCCTAGCTTCAGTGGCTGCTTTCAGGCCCACCAGAAGATTAAAAGCAATTATGTCTCATCAGTGTCATATCAACATCAGCTTTTGGACATACAGATGTATGTCTGTAGGCCTAAATTTTCTGCTGGTTTGATAAATTTTAAATTAGGAAGTGCAAACAGATCATTCTAGTTCTCTCAGAAATACACTACCATAAATCACCATTAAATGTACTCATTCTCCAGAAATATCTAATGCCCTTATAACAGTCTTCCCATTAACCTTTCAAACACATTTCCTCTACAAAAGCCCCACTATCTCAGCAGTTAGATGTGTCAGAATTAGAAGAAAAAGCCAGAAGCAAAACTCAAGCCAAAAAGGAAGATAACTGGCAAACACTGATTATAAAAGTCCAACCATGATTCAGATTATATCAAAACTAATCTGAATGAGATCAACTCAACATAGCAAATATTTTGGCAGCAGTACAGAAATGCAACTATTTTGAAAAAAAGTATTATCCTCAGAAATCAAACATGAAAACAAATCGTTAGGACACCCATATGGATTTAGTTCTGCCCTTTAATGATGCCTTTAATAGCTAGACACAAACAGCCACTCCTTATAAGTCACATACCTCTCTTCATCCTCCTCCTTAGACTTCAATTTGCTTACTTTTTCACTCTGTCTTCTAACCATTTTTCCAAATAATTTTCCTTCACAGAAAACTTGTTCCTCAGCTGTCCTTTCCTCTTCACCAGCTCCTAATTCCACCTTATCCACATGAGCATATTTCCCTACAAAACACCTTCCTTCTCTACTCATCTGCTCTTTGAATTGCAGTGCTTCCCACATAAGGCTGCAGATCTCACAAAGGCCCCACAATAACACTGCAGACCTCATCTGCTCAACACCCTACATGTCCTTACACACTGAAAATATGTGCACACATTTTTACTACTGTTACCAAACCTAACAGAGGTTCAAACACAAGGATGTCTCACATGCTATGAGGTCCTTTTCCAACTGCATTCTGCTTCTGTTCCTTGGAATTAGTGGAGAACTCTTGTTGAAACCGTGTTCCAGGAATAGGGATTTAAAATGTGATACATTTGCCTCTTTCTTTCACTCCACACATTAAAGAAGGCCACTGCCAGACTGCACCCACAGAAGGAGAAATGAAACACTAGGATATTTTAAGGAACAATCCAAATGAACCACTTCTGCATACAGAAGGGATACCATGTAACAACACTCCCTTTAAAGGGGGAATGCCACAACAGCCATCAGGTAACGCCAGCTTCATTCAATTGTTTGTTGTTTCTGTTTTTACAGGTGGCATGGGACTGAACCTTTAAAGCTAGTGAAATTTTGTGAAGCAGTTGATGTTTATTGGCAAATCATGTTTTTTTTTAATACTTTCCAGTTGAACTAGATTTCAACACCATCTCAGTTCAACAAGGTAGTTCTTCAACACATATAATTCTATACTTGGTGCATAAAACCCAAGTGAACATTATGGGGCTTTTACAAACAGATGACGAGCTGGAGACAGACATACATAGAAGGATACATCACTAAGTTCTCTGTGTAAATCTAAAGTCAACAGTAGATAATTCCAGTGTTATCTAGTGCACTGCACCCGTAAGAACAATAGCAATACAGATGTACAATGCACTAGTGTTTTCCTGAGGCAAGAAGGAAGTGGAACACCTAAAAGATACTACAGTTCTCAGTCTTTACTTAAAGAATGCAAATAATTCACACATGCAGTAGCAAAGGTAGGATTCCTGCAATTTGAAAGTGAATAGGAACTTGTGAGCAAGAAAGCTAAAGTGAGTGTTTTCAAGGGAAAAGCTTCTTATATTTAAATCCTGTCTTCACACTTAAATAAGCCAAACACAAAAAGCACTGTCCTACCTGTGTGGCTTTGTCTCTCATACAGGGAGCAGCTTGTCCATGATTATCCCGAGGCCATTGCCCTGCAAGGTAAGGAGCAGCAAGTGTATCCAGTGAGGACGTCCTGCGAACAATACTGGAAGGGCTTGATGAAGGTGGTCTTGATTTGTCTGTTAGAACAAGAAAATTTGATTAAAGAAATCAAGAGAGAGTCAGAAAATAAAACCAGTGACACCAAAAGTCCAAAATTCAACTTCTAAGCTGATGCAATCTACTAGAAATGCATATGATAAATGCCAATAAAACCTGTTAGGTATAGATTTCTGTGAACCTAAGTCTAGTGACATTATGCAAATTAGGAATGTACACACTAAAAAATGTGGAAAATATTTCAATTCAACTATAAGGAAACAATTATTAGCACTATAACCAGCCACACTCACATAAAGCAGTTGGGAAACCTCATCTCCTCCATTATTTCTACAAGTATCAACAATGATACAACCTTACTACTGAGCTCATAGCAGATTTCCTCTCCGGGTGTAGCAGCAAATATGTTCTGGAGTTTGCACTTAAGAATCCTGTATCAAAGAAATTCTCTGACTACTACCACCACCACACAGCACACTGAAGGGTCTGTTGGTATCAGATGATTTCAAAACAATTCCCTTTGTGTGTACTATAGGACAATGTGACATGCTAACACAACGTGTCATTCCTTAAAAATTATGCTGGCTTACAAAGTTAAATAAAACATGTTATTTGTTTTAGAATTAGCTGCCATATCCTCCTTGTTTGTTTTTCTTCTCAGTTATTATTCTTCCTCTTCAAGAAGCTTCTCTCTTCTTACCAAGGGGAAACAGAAAGGATGTGAAAAAAAATTTTAAATCAGGAAGTGTATGTAGTCAGCCACATCATCTGCAAATCCACTGCAGCAGACAGCTTCAAAACTGAAGCAGAATCTATTACTCTCTCCTCTGCCACAAACAAAACAAACAACAACTGGAAAGACTATTTTGCTGAACAAACAGAAAGAATGAGAACTGAAGAGCCTGTTTACTATTTAAGTTCAAGGGAAGCTGCTCATTTCAAGGCACAAAGCCTATAAATATTCTCTTTTCCTCTGATTTAAAAACTCATTTAAGAAATTCTGTTTTCAAATTGCTTGTATTTAGATGGGCAAATGATGTTTGGATATGTTTTGACTTTTCCACCTTCACAACCTGTCTATACAAATTGGAAAAGTCTACTACACAATTCTTACTGTTTCAAAACATTTCAATGGGAACATATACAATGTTTTCATTGCACATTCCCCTACAATACTTGAAGCAAGTGTTCAGCTGCTATTTTTCCTTGATGTGACCTACATAACAAGAGATCTGCCTCCATAGAGATAACAGTTACAACAGCTGTGGCTGATGAAAAACAATGGAGCTGTTTCATCAAATAGACGCTTCTTAAATATTAGATCTCTTTTAATTGGCCTGATTATCTCTCTAAAGCAGTATTTGTGATAAATATCAACCCTTCTATCCATCCACCACTAGTATAAATTTCTTTAGAAATGGAAGTCTTTCTGCAATCCGGTCTCAAACAAAGCAAAGTAATAGAACAAAAACAAAGGGAACACACACAACATAAATCAATGAAATCCATAGTGTGGAGAAATATAAGCAAGTGGCCATGTCTTCACCAATTCTTGCACAGGTGACCAACAGAAGTTGCTACAGGCAACCTGGTATCACACACACACACCTCTTGCACAGTAAAGGCACTCCAAAGGCAGTATGAGTTCAGGCACTGTAAGAGTGGGACTGAAGAGCAAAACTGAACAAATATAGATGCTTAACAACAACTGAAAGGTATGAAAGAAACCAAAGAAATATTGTCTAACACATACTGTGAGAAAACAAGCAGCAGAAAAGCCTAGCATGCCACCGAACTCACAAAATTCCCTGACAGTTCCACTTGAGGCTTGTTTTTTATACAAGTGGGCTATCCAAAGCAGTGAGAAGGGGTGAGACTCACCCAGCTCCTCTGCATCAAGGCACACAGCTGACCTTTTTGTTCTGTTTTGGTCAGGCTTTTCACCAGGAAGGACATTCATGGGATCTCTCCCATACAAAGCTGGCACAGCCATCTTTTCCAAAACTACAACTGATCTCTGTGGCTTCACCTACTTTTCATGTTTCATTAAAAGAAGTGAACAGACTCAGTGCACTAAGAACAGACACACCACCCAACTGTGTACAGTCCCTTTGGAAGATAATCCTGTCTATCAACCTCGCATAAATTTAAAGAGAACTATTCACTAGTAATTCGAAATTGTCCCAGTGTAGAAGAATGACTGAACTAGTGGTGTTTTACAAAACCAAACCTCAGAAAGCCCAAGATGTTCAAACTACTTAACTCTAGTAAATGAAAATATTTTTAAACCCAATAAACTTCCCTGAAGTGCTGGCCACAAGAAATGTACAGTGCTGCAAAAATGAATTCACGTTCTTTACACCTACCATTTGTTAAACAGCTTAGGTAAGCAGAGCAGGAATGTAAGGGTACACAAGGCCTTCTCTCTCATCCTACAGTAATATCTTTCAAAACTACTGCAAACCCTTGGTCACTAAGATCGACAAGTCTGCAGCTATTACTGTGTCACTCACAAGATTATCAAAATAAATAAATTCTGTGGTGAAATTTAGGAGTGTAATGGAGTTCCATTTCTTCTTCTCTACCTCAAAGGAAAGGTTCACATCTGACTTCTTTTAGACTTCATATAATATTTTCATAATTTCCATTCACACAAGTAGGCTTTAACATTACCCTTTCATAGACAAAACAATTGTTTTCTTCCAAGTAAAACTAAGCAATTTTTCTCCTTAATTTTCAGAATGAGTTTAAAGGTCCAGTACAGTCAACTGGAATATACCAGAAAGTCCAGCACCCAGTAGAGAACTCTCTCACTACCTCAAGGCACCTGAAAGTAAACAACTGCTATGGCTCTGGTCTTGACCTCCTTGTTTACTCAGCCTGGTGCACTGCAACATTCTTGCAGCTGAGCAGATGTGTTTCATGTAAGAACACAAATAACAAGATCCCATTAGGTCTTTACAGAGTGAATAAACCACGGCAAAGCCAATGAAGATAGAGCACACACATCTCTCTATCCCATGTTGAAACAGTGTACTAGTAGGCCAGAATAATGCAGACGGGGAAGAGGCACAAGAGACAACTGAACCCAAAGTGGAGATTGCAGGACAGACATTGCAGTGCAGAGATGAAGTCTCACCAGTGAATGGAAGGGCAGAACATATTATAAGGCAATTGGAAGCTGAATTCTGAGAAATAACTGCTAGAGATTGCAGAAAAGGAAAGCAAAAGATGAAAAACAGGTAGTAGCAAGATCTAGGTCCCTGGTCATATTTAAGAGGGAGGGAGAGAATGGCAAGAAAAGCATGGAAAATGAGAAGTTGACAGAATCTTCCATTTGTAATTATCCTATAGTCAACAGAAAATTCAGTTGAGTATTTCCAACATTTAATTGCAATTCAGAAAACGAAGGTTAAAAAAACCCTCCAAAAACCACACCCAAACCCCACAAAAGTCACATTCGTAAATTCAGAAGTTAGGGTTCTCAAATATAAAGCTGGTTCATAAAAACTTAAGTTCAAAACTATTCAACTGTTTCCCAGGAAAGAAAACCTGAAAAATATGAAACTGAGTCTGAAGTATGCAACTTATATTTAGATACAACTTCAACTTAGATACAACCAGTATCTAATCTCAGAAAAAGCTATCATTTGCCTAACCTCACGGTTCATTTGTATCTAAGAAAATACATCTGCAGCTGTAGGAATGAACAAAAGCCATCATTAACTGAAAGCAAGAAACAGAAAAACCCAAGTAATTCTGCAGCAGATTCTGACTGATACTCTCAAGTGTCCTGCATGTCTGCACAACCATTGCCTCATCAGTAAAAAAAGTTCCACCTCCATGTTCTCAGCTAACACTGTTTACTCATTTAGGTGAAGAAAAAAACTGAAGTTAACTCAGCCTCTATCAAGCACCGGACTACACAATAGAAATGTTAAGCAATATTAAAGAGGTTTAGCTTGCATTTGGGGCCAGTACAAGTACTGCTCAGAAACTAGAACGTGTGGAAGCAATTAAATGGACACCTCTCTCCGGTTTTCACACATCTTGTAAAAAGCTCGTGGAGTTATCTTAACACAGTAGAGTGATCAAATGACTTATTTCCTTCTATATGTTAATTCTTTAAAGTAGTAAAGAGGCCAACATGGTTTCACAGCAGGCTTCTCCACGGTGACTAAAAGACAGTGCAATTTTTCCAAACCAAGTGGTCTGACGTATGCCTTTACAAACAGTTTTTGAACCTGGACCTCAAGGCTAACCATGCTCTTCCTCATTCTCCAGGCCAGCAGATTGCACCTTAGGCAAGAGCACCATGAAGTTCACAGGAAGAAGACAGGATTTTGTGATGTGTGTAAAGTCTTTCAGATTACTGATTAACAAGAAACTCAAATGAAGAATACACACATTCCTCGATCCAAAGCTTTTAATATTATATAGCCTTAATAAAACCCTCATTACTCCTATCTGGAAAGTGGAAAATCTAACTCAGAACCTTATCAGTCCTCTCTTACACCATCAGACTAGGAGGCACACAGTCATCTTGTACCAACTGGTTATGACTGTCTCGTTTGGCAGTACCATTCCTCAAGAGCCAGGATAGGAAAAAAGAAAAAACCCAACGTGGCAGTCTGGTTACAATCATTATTTTACAAAAGGGGAGGAGTATTAGGAGAAACAGAAGTGTTAAAGGGAGGGCTAGTCCTAGATTTCTGCATGCACACTTCTGCATATTAGTCAACTTCACTCTTTAGATTACCACAGGCAATTTCACGGAAATGAGTAGCTGCAAGCTTTGGTATCTTAAAAGTAACATTTTTTCCCTAGATTCGAGGACATGAACACAAACCCTCACTGATGCATTTTTGAGTAAACTTTTAACCCAAGAAGAAAAAGGACTTAGATATGTCAGCCTCTATTATCCTTAACCTGATGCCATATATTACATTACAGCATTCCCAGTAAGACTTACATTATTCAAAAAGTTAAAAAGCAGTTTGTTACAAAATATATGCTATCGCCATACTACTATCTTCACTGTAGCAGAAGCTTGTCATCACTCTCAAGCACACACATCTTTCTGCAGGGTTCATGGTGAAAGCAACTGCTAAGAGAGATATTGAACACTTTTGTTCTACAGCTATGCACCATGCCTACAAGCACTAGTTAGTTCTTTAATTACAAGCTCAGGGACACTCTGGATCACAACCACATACACCATCTGGCATGAGGTGTGCAGAAAGGGTTCACAACAGCCCTCAAACAACAAATTCTCCTTAAGTTTGTGCCCAAGCACCTTAAGTACATCTACCATCCTGAATCCGTTTCATCTGCGAACCCGAGGCAATACTCGCGGTACTACAGAAGCGGTCACAACCCCCACATGGCACGCTAGGCTCTCTATTCCTCTTCTGAAAGCCAGGGCGCAACAGAGCAGCAACAAAAGCAACGAACCCTTCCACGCACACACACCCGGCAAGCCGCGCCGCCGGCCAGAGAAGGGGCAGGGCGAGCACCAGCCCGGGCACAGCCCTGTCCCTACCTCAGCCCCGGGGCACGGCGCGCTCCAAGGCACGGCCGGCCCCAGCCCTGCACCCCGCTCCTGGCCCGGCCACCCGGGACGTGCCCTTTGCCGCCGGCCCGGACCCCCCGGCGCTCACCTTTGCAGACGGGGGAGCTGGGACTCTTCCTCTCTGGAGAGCTCCTGCCCGGCTCCGGCGACTGCCGCCGGTGGTGGTGCCGGACCCTGCCCTCCGGCAGCGGAGACACCGGCGAGGAGCAGGGCGAGGGCCCGCAGCCCGGCGGCGGCGGAGGAGGTGGCGGCAGGTGGTGGTGCCGCGGGGGGCTGCCCCGAGCCCCGCCATGGCCACGCGTGGGGCTGCCCCGCGAGGAGGCGGCGCCGCCGCCGTTCCCCGCTCCCCCCGGCGGGGCCGTGGCAGGGCCGCCGCGCCCGCCGCTGCCGGGGGGCGCCGCGCGTGGGAGCCCCGCTCCCGGGCCGCCACCGCTCCTCGTGGGGCTGCCATGTTGTTGCTGCTGCTGCTGCTTGAGCTGGAAGGGCACCGTGGCCCGCATGGGCTGGAGGCGGCTGCTCGCTCCCGCTGCTCCGCCACCCGCCGCCGCCGCGCCGCCTCCCCCCGCCAGGGAGGTGGCGGGGGTCGGGGAGCCGCCGCGCCTCATGCGCTGGTGGGACATTGTCCGCCGGGAGCCGGGGCTCGCGGAAGGCGGCCTGAGGCGGAGAAGGGAGGGAAGGGTGCGAGGCGCGGGCCGCACCTCGCGGGGTTCGACGCCTCAAGTGGCGGCAGCGGCCGCCGCAGCCCCGTCCTGCTTCCCGTCCCGGTCCCGTCCCCTCCGCGCCGCTGCGCCCGCAGCCTCCGTGCGCCTCATCAACAATAGTGCCCCGGCCGCGCGCCCCGCCTACCGCGCCCTCCCATTGGGCGCGGCGCCGCTCGGCTCGCGCAGCTACGGCGCGCCCATTGGCTGCGGGGCGCGCGCCTGAGTGGCCGGGCCCGCGCGGGGGGCGCGGGGGGGCCCGGGGCGGGGGCAGCGCTTAAAGAGCCGCACGCGGGCGGCGGCGGGGCCGCGCGCTGCCCCCGGCACGTGCGGCGGGGCAGCCCCGGCGGGAACGGGGCGCGCTCCCGGCTCCCCCTCACGGCTCCCCCTCACGCAGGGCCGCCGCCACGGGCAGCGTGCCCACCCGCCTCTCGGTCCCGTTCTAAGGGACCATTATCCCTGCTCCATCATTCCTAGCCCCAGGTGCTCTCCAGGAGGGGACGGGGCTCCACAGCGGTTTATCCAATCGCTTTGCCACCAGCTCGGTGATACCGATGATGGCACCAGAGACGTGGGCAATATCCAGGCAGACTTGACCCCCTTTTGCCCTTAACCGCTGTGTTTACTCTCCTCCGTTAGGTCAGATTAGTTGCATCTTCATTGTAATCTTTTAATAATATTTGTTAACTGCTGGTATCCTCTTAACCAAATTTATACATCAGAGCAGTGAATACGTGCATGGAACTGGCCTTAGTTCATGTGTTCGGTTATTTAGATGCAAGGTAAACACATGTTAGCACCCTCAATACCAGAAAGAATCAATAAACCTTTTTTCTGCCTTTATTGCAAATGCCTTCTGAGCTACCAGGACTTACACAAATTCTTTTCAATACTGCTGTACAAGCTGCACGTTGCAGTTGAAAAGCATTGCTAAGATACAAATGGTGTGACAACAATTTACATACTGCTCTCTGTTCATCTTGGTTGTGCTTGGGTTTGTTTTTTTCCTCTCTCCTTTGCTGTTTCTGATAGAAGGCCACTTCACTTAAAAATCCCTAATGCCCCTTTGAAGAACTCCATCCAACTTGTGCCTAGTTAAACAAACCTGAAAAGCAAGACTGTGTGCACAGGTCCTTCTTAAAGATGCCTAGATCCTGGCTTACCTAAAGCCTTGAAGGGTAAAGCTTGTGTCAGAGTTGAGAGCTTTTCGTGAGGAATCAGACTGGCAAGAGAGAACAGGACAGATGTAGTGATGAGGTTGTCGTGAAGTAATCTCTTGCATTCTGGATTAATTTCATTTATTTTGAAAGACATTATGCTCTCTCACAGGTACTGTAAATGCTAGTAGTAATATGGCCTGAAGGAGAGCTACATGGGTCAATCAAAATCTACTGCAAGAGGCTGTGCACAGTCTCAAGAATTACCCTGTGCTACCCCTGAAAGTGGCTGCCAAGGGAAGGCACCAGAAGCCTGGCAGATCACCGTCAGCCCTATTGTATCCCTTCCTTCAACTGTGCAATTCACTTGTTACCTTGTAAATTACTCATAAGGACACTTCCCATTTTCCCGTAGCCATCACTAGCGCTGCTGGTACAATGTGGCAAGGCATCAAAATCCCAGATAACCCATAATTAATGAAAAATCTGGGAGACAGTGCTGTCCTCACTGGGAATGGCTGAGAGGCAGAGAACAGTATAAGCTGTGTATACTGCTATCATTTGGGATGAAGAGATCTCATGATTCCCTCAGTGACTCCATATATATATATTGAAAGAGAGAACCTCAGCTTTAAAGCTCTCCATGTGTAAATGCCCAGGAGGTAGAAAACCAGCACCCAGCATGTCAGGAGAAATAAGTGGAACCTGTCTGCTGCTTTGTCCTTCAGCAGTTTCTGTGACTCATCTGTGGGGCAACACAGCAAAAGAAATTTTTGAGAAGGGGAAGAAAATAGTCTGAATCCTTCCGAAAGCCAGTTTTGCCATAACACAAGGTAAGATCAAGAGACAAGGAGAACAAGTTTTTAGGAAGTAAATGGCAAGATGACATTGTCAAATTCCAAGGGGTGTAATCAACAAATAACAGCTATGTTTTCACTAACCAGTAAAGCGCCACAGCTAGAGAGCAGTCCTACCTGGAGCTGCTGGCAGAAAGCACCAGGGGAAACATGGACTTTTCAGCTTCTCACCCAGTCCCACCAGCAAGGAGGCTGGGGGGCATGAGAAGCTGGGGGAACACAGGCAGGACAGCTGACCCCAGTGGGCCAAAGCAATGTTCTGCACCACACAGCAGCAAGCTCAGCATGTGAACGAGGGGGAAAGCTGCCTGGGGGCTGCTGCTCAGGGACTGGCTGGGCTTTAGTTGGCAAGTGGTGAGTGATTGCAGTGTGCATCACTTGCGTCCTGTATTCTTCTCTTATTGTTATATATATATTATACATATAATATCTCTATAATATCTACGATATTATATTAATGTCTATTATAATCATCATATACCCTATTAAACTGTCTGTATCTAAACTCACAAATTTTGCTTTCCCCCCCCCAGTTCACTTCCCCCACCCACTGGGAAAAAGCAAGTGAGAGAGTAGCTGTATGGGGTTAACCTGTCAGCTGCCTGACAGGTTAAACCACAATAGCAGCCCAGAACAGGGCAGTTATCCTAAAGAAGGTTAATTTATGCAGCATTTGTTTCACTTCTTTGCTGCGATTTTCAGTAAAGAGCAGAAGACGCAGTTCTTCTTGCTGTGACAGCACCCATTCCCAGCGCCCCGTGCAGTTGTGCAGCAGTTTTATCCCAGTTTATGCTCACCAGAAATATTGGGAAATAGTATTTCCCAATACTTGCAAGCAGTGTCTCATAAAGACACTTCTAAGGCACAAAATATCCTGAATGCATTCTCATTCCTGTTACTGTTTTGAAGAGGCCAAAAATGACAGGTACTGATTCATACTTATTTTAATGCTGCATGCTATGGAGCCAAGTCACGACTTTGATTGCAGAAGATACCTGTGACAATTATAGTACTTCCCACATTATTGTCACACTGCAGAGATGACACTGATCCACAGAGTAGCTGTAAGAATAGAAAGCAAAGCATTTAAGTGCACTGCTCATCATCAGTTGTGTTGCTTTGCACGCAGCCGACGTGAGAGCTCGACATGTAAAGTCATGTACTCAGTCCTACTCAAACACCGTGTACTTCTTACGTTCATTTGTTTAAACTGTAACAAATGTGTTACAACAGGATCTTACTCCTACACCTTATGGAAATAATGGAAAGCGCTAAAGCAGGATTATGAACTTGAAAATAGTTTCGAAACTCTTTTTCAATTACAAAATAACCCAAACCCTCAGAACAAAATCCCAGCTCCAAATAACTTGGATTCAGGTCCCCCAGACTCTCTTTGCAATTCACACCTCTCAGGCTCTGGGTTTTTTTCAGCTGTCACCTTCCTTTCTGCCTGCACACTTTGCCAAATGCTGTCCAGGCCACCTCTCAGCACCACATTTCATGTGGTTTCATGTGGAACCTCTAGGTTGGGGTTTCTTCAAATCTCTGACGCTCTTACTCTGGCTGAAACACATAATGTAATGGTGCCAACAGTGATGCAAAAAATAGGAAAGAAACTCCTCATCACCACAGAGGCTGTGGGCCTTCTGCCTCTTAGTGACCACAGTCACTTTAGTGACTCCAAATGCCGTGGAGTCACACGAGATCCCATGTACACAGCACCCATCTCTGTGTTCCCAGCTCCTCTCTGCCTGGAATTTTTATCAACTCATTGGCCCTGGGAGCTCAGCAGATACTGCTGTGCTCACACACCAGGCTGAAATGCCACCCCAGGAGGTGTAAGCACTCCCACACCCCAAGAAGGCCCTTGGCACCCATCCAGAGTCCTGCCAAAATGTGCTGCTCTGTACTCAGTGCCGGGAGATGAAGCCTAGGTATGGCAGCCGGCCCCTTACGTGCAAGCTGTTGGCTCTTTCTTAAAATATAGCGTGTGGTAAATGTTGCAGAGACAAATCAATCCAAAGGCTGAAGCATATTGAATGCCCCCAAGGGCAGACTGATCAAACACACAGAGCTGCATGAACAAATCTGGAACCTGCTGAAAGCTCTGCTGCTAACACCAAATGAAAAGCAGAGAAACAAGAGTCAGAGAGGTGTAACTAAACTGAGAGGCTCAAATCCCACTGTACAGCTAATAAAACAGATAATACTTAGGGAGTTTTCTGGTACTACAGACTGAAAATGTGTAAGTAGTGCTGCTTACTGCTCATAGTAATATATACGAAAAATGTTCTGTTAAAATAATAGTAATAATAGTACACCTTACAGAAAATGACTGTACTTCAAGCAGCTTCAAATACACTATTGCCTTATTCCAAAATTTAATAAATGCAAAGCAGCGCATGTAGAGGAGCAATCTACTGCCTGAAATTGTTTT